TCATAAGGGTGCAATCCATGGCAAATGTAGAATTTAAAAAGTTCTCCCCACTTACACCCTCTTGCCCATATCATGGAGAAGATGTCGCACTCTGCTTCGTGAAGTTACTTAAAGGCTGTTAAGTCATGCCTGAGAAGCTAGCTTCCTTTATGAGTGAGGAGGGCTTTATCCGGTCCTTCATTCACCTTGAGCACTTGTTAAGTTCAGTTAACTAATGCCCAAAGTGTTTTTTGAGATCTTATAGTCAAGGATAATATTGTTACACATTATTAAACACACTTAATTTTTAAATGTTTAAAAGACTTGCAAGGAGGAACTGTAAAAAATATCTTCCCTCTTCAATGCTAATTTTCAGAATGCAAATCAAAACCATCAATTTACCTTAGATAAACTTCATTTAAAGGACAGAGAAAGATCTTTGTAAGGACACTGAACTAGAAATGTCTGCTTTTAATCAGCATGGTAGTGTATCTCTAAATCCATTGTCAAACCACCTAATAAGGTAAAATAAATAATTGAATGCTATTTGCAATTTCTAAATAACATCAGTCATTACCAGTTGCCTTGGGCTTTTCTAGGTGATTGAATAATTATCCCATAATCAGTACAGTAATGAAGAACTGCCCTTTGTAAGGTCTGGATATTTAGCTCCAACTTTATTTCATTAGGGTTATCTGTAAATCAGAACAAGCAGCTGTCCCTTATTGAATATAAGGATAAGGTATGTTTCTATTTTAAACATGGAAGTCCACCGTGAATGCTCTTTAAAAAATTGTGGACCTAATTGTCAGGTCTGCTCTGTAAGCCCAGAAATGCACAATCAGTTAATGGGAAATTCTTTTCCTGCCCTGGAACTAAAGCCATCAGATTTCACCATTAATAAAGAAAAAGCCTATGGTTACGAATTTATTTGCTTTCTGGATGCGTGCCAGATCTGAAAAGGGCTAAAATCAAAGTGAAGTCTTTGAGAGAAGACTTTGAGAGATCACAGAATTTCTCGAGAATCACACGTGTGACAATAGTAGTTACTAGATGAAATGAGTTCTTTGTAAATCCAGCACGAAGTCTGACAAGATCTGAAAAAGTTGCCAAACTGTATTTGTTGACAAGAGCAACCACTAGAGGAATAAGAAATGCTGCGTTCTAACAGTGCATGCAGCAATATCTCACTGGACTATGTCCCCTTCCCAGGCCGCCAAGTAGTATGAGCACTTGCCTGCACTCAGTATTTTCTTTTCTTCCTCCTTTCTTTTGAAAATAATCTTATTTTACATGCCAATCTCTCTCCCTCCCATCTTTCTGCTCTTCCCCACCTTCTTCCCACCCCCATGCCCCATCCACTTCTCAGAGAGGGTGAGGTCTTCCATGAGGAGTCAACAAAGTCTGTCACATCACTTGAGGCAGGACCAAGGGGCTCCTCCACCTGTATCTAGGCTGAGCAAGGTATCCATCCCTAAGGAAAGGGCTCCAAAGAGCCAGTTCATGCACTGCTCTTTGGCGCCACAAAGTGCCCAGGCCACACAGCTGTCACCCACATCGAGAGGGCCTAGTTTGGTTTTATGCAGGTTCCCCAGCTGTCAGTCCAAAGTCCGTGAGCTCCTACTAGTTCAAGTCAGCTGACTCTGTGGGTATCACCATCATGGTCCCTTTGCTCATGACAATGCTAACCAAAGAAATATTCTTTGTATTGGGAATGGTGGAGAAACTTTGTTGTGATTAGATAGAAATTTGAATAAAATCAAATTTGAACTAGAATTGTATACCTCACATAGCATACTGAGTGTACAAGGAGTTTTCATTCATGGTCGCTGTAGTCTGGTCAGTTCAGATGCACCTACCTCATCCTGTCTGTCTCTGAACCCTGATGAGAAGCACTTCTGTGATTCTGTCCCCATGCATTCTCAGTGGGGAAATCTCTCTGATGCTGTTGAACAATGAGGCAAGCATCGTTTTGTCTACAGTATCCCTACTACTTGCTAAACATGGATTCTGACAAGTGCTTTAACTAAGGCCAGATCGTTGATAAAATGAAAGAAGACAAAGGCAGATTTGGAACATATGTCTAAGGCTGGGATTAACAAGTGAGGTTCCTAGGTCAGAAAACTGAAAGATCTTGAGATCGATCATTTACTTAGATTTGGGGTCCCAGATGCTTCAACGGCCCCAGCTTGGAATTGGCTTTGCCTGTGGTACCATGCTCAGTGAGGCAGAGAATGGAGAAAAGCCTGAACAGAAGATTTAAGAGAAGCAGGGGCCTGGAAATCAAGATGAGCTGTGTAGTCATAAAAGGGAAAATGTAAGAGGAAAAAGAAGACATAAACTGTAATGCAGGGTCACCAAAGACAAACTGCACTCTCTAAAATCTTTTTGCTGGGTCCAAAGCTAGAAATTATATATTGGGATCAGCAAGACAGCTCAGTTGGGAAAGGGCCTTGCCGCCAGATCTGATGACCTCAGTTTGATTTTTTCCTGGATCGATGTGGTGGAGAGAACTGACTCCTTAAGGTGTCTTCCCAGTTCAACATGCATGTTGTGCTTGTGTGCATGGGCATGCTTATCTGAATGTGCATGCATGCATACCTGTACATGTAAACACACAACAGACAACAATTGTAATGATAAAAAGATAAGAGATGATACAGTATCTCTCTTTAGCCACAGAGAATACGTTTCCATGATGCTACACAGACCCTGGAAGGCATTAAAAATGCCAAACCACATATCATGTTTTTTTTCTATGCATACATTCCCATGATAAAGTTTAATTTGTAAGTCAAGCACAATGAGAGACAGTAATTAAAAATAAAATAGAAACTATTTAACAATAGTCTGTTGTTAAAAAAAACACTTCAATTTTGTTGTTTTTCTATTTAATATTTTTGACTTCAGTTGTGTATGTTTAACCAAGATGACAAAAGCAAAGATGGATGGTGGATTGCTACAGTATCCCAAACACAGAAGCAGAATTAATTAATGTGGACATTTTACAAGTTCAGGCTATAAGCGTATTTTGACTGTTACCGACATAAGAGGGGGGCTTCATTCATTGTTGTTTCATTGTATCCAAAATGGTTTACTTCTTAATCTTTTGCTAAGCATTTGAGATTTTCTCTCTTCCCACGCATTGCCAATTGCTTGCATGCTTTCTTATTCCAATTCAAGCTATTTATGTGCAGAGTTCTTGTCACTGATGAAATGCTGTTTTCTAGCACAAGGTTGGGGCCAAACAGAGACTAAGTAAATAACTGCTTGACTGATAAAATTAGATTGTCTTGGTCTCACTGCTAGAAGTATTTTATAGTATTTTGATCACATTTCTCTGAGTTTTCCCTTCCCAACTGGATAAAACAAAAGAAAACAGAACAAAAAAGCAGAAAAGAAGTGGGAAAAAAAAAACAACTCAAGTTAGAAATATAAACTTTAAACTCATTAGGATTTATAAAATAGCATCAATTCTGGTGCTGGAGAGATGGCTCTGTAATTAAGAGCATTGACTGCTCTCTCTGAGAACTCGAGTTTGATTTTCAGCGCCCACATGGCTGCTCACAAAGGTCTGTTAATTCAAGTCCCAGGATATTCAACACCCTCTTCTGACCGCTACAGGTACTGCATGTAGGCTGTGCTCAGACAAAACTGCTTAAAGTTAAGAAAAATCAATCTCATATTTTATTTACCTTTTGAAAATTCTTTATATATACTAGATTAGAAGTCCTGCATCAGATATGTGTTTTAAAAAAATTTTGTCTGCAACTGTGGCCTGTCTTTTGGTTCTATAACAGTGGCTTTCGATGAGAAACTCTTAATTTTATTAAATCCAATTTATTATTCCATTGCTTTTAAGCGTTGTCTATAACCCTTATAATTTTATAATTTTTAGGATTGTTTAGTTATGATTTTATAAAATTTAGTTATAATTTTAAGGATTGTTTATAATATCCAAGAAAATATTTGTTTTCCCAGGATCACAAAGATTCCCTGCTTATTTTTCTTCTAAAAGTTTTTTACCCAAAGGATTATGATTTACTTTGATTTTTCTACAAAAATATGAATTGTGATTCTTCTTTTGTACAGAGATTTTCAGTTTTTCAGTGACCTTTTGTGGAAAACCACTAGAATTTCTCTACACAACTTTCACCAACCATTTCTCAGGGCGGGTTTGATCCCGGGTTCTCCATTCTCTCTCTCTACTCCGATCATGTATGTACATACAGTGATCATCACTGTAGACCACAGATTATTGCACCTCACAAGTCCTAAGATCAGGCAATGCCATTCTTCAAACTTAGTTCACATTTTCAAAAAAGTATTGTATAGTCCAATTCCTTTACTTTTTCTTATAATTTTAGAATCATCTTGGTAATTCCTCCAGGACAATAGAATGGAGTTTTGATGGGAAATATGCTGAATGCTGGTCTAGCTAGCTTTAAAGTTTGGTAGCAAACACAATTCTAACAGGAGGACAGCAGGCTTCAGATAAAAAGAAGAAAAAAGAATTGCAATGAACTTTAACTATTCACTGATCAGGAAAACATATTAAACTTCCTACCACTGATCCTTCAAATCCTAGGAATGTAGGAATGTTGATGGCTAGAGTTCTGGTGCCTTACAAGGTAAAGGAGTTATACAGTCCCCCCCCCCGCCCCCGCCCCTGCAAAAAGGAAGCAACCCCCCAAAGCACTCAAGAGATAATATTGCAGCTGCTCTTTGCTGTCAGGTTTGCATGGAATAAAGAATGGCTCTGGCAAAAGATCCACTCACCCATATTGATATTCTTACACACATAATTATTTTGAGGTTAAAATCTCCTGTCTGCCTCGCAACTCAAAAGGGAATTTCTGAAATGCCTAGGAGCCTCGTCTTATGCGGTGAGCTAAAACTCATTCATCATCGGCGTGACTGTCTGGCAGTTTTCAGGCATGTCTCTGCAAGGCTCATTTTCTTCCATGTTATTAGGTAGCGCAGGATATTTCGAGGTATTTCACTGGGGTGAAGATCTTTACCTGGCTGGCTAGTCAGACCTGGGAGAGCTTCCTGCAGCTGGTAAGTTGAGGCTGATGATGATGTGCCATCGGCTGTGTTGTTGGATGCCATATACGCCCCATAGGTGGATGCCGAGTAATACTGAGCATATTGGTTTTGGCCAAAGGCTGTGTAGGATGGGTAATCCTGAAACAAATAAATGAGGTATGAGGATATAGAAGAGCAATCACCATCTAGCGCAGTCCAAGCAAGCAAGCAAACACCATCACTACGGCAACGAAAGGATTAGTGCGCAGCTCCAGTTGCTTTCCAGTCCATGGCTTGGAGTTGATGCTAATGAGTGGAACCTATCTGAGCATCTCACAAATGCAGCGGTAATTAATTTCTCTATTGGGCTTGCAAACTAGTTCTAAAACATGAATATGAATCTGGCTGAAGTTTGTTTATGCTTCATTTCACCCCCTACAATGACTAATATGTTGCTTTATGCCACTAGTATGATGCACTGAAAAGGGAGAGGTCATATTCATAAGTCAGCTCGTATTCATTCCGTTCATTTTTACACATTGCCCAACAACACCGGCAAGCAGGTGTTGTGTCTACTTCTGGCTTCTACATAGACCTAAATACATATTTTTTTTAAGTTTTATTCCTCTTCTAAGTCTTGATTTTTTTATTTGATCTTGTCCATCATTTTAAAGTAAATAAACTAATTTTCTTGCCACAACAAGCAACCTGCTACCTGAGGCTTTACTTAGTCTTCAGTGAAGTTTTTCAAAACATTTAGTTTTGCTCCTTTGTTGCACGTAAAAAAGGAAAGCATTGAACCAACTCCCCTGACCTGTTTTCCATTAAAAAAGAACCTTAAAATGACGAAAAATGATCCTCCAATAGCCTTTTACATATTAAGATGATGAGTAAAGACTCGTGATAAATGGTGTTTAATATATCTAGCATGGTTTAGCCAAAAATGTTATCAGTGATGACAAATTCTTGGTCAGGATGAAGATCCCCTGTTGTGATAAGTTCTGAAGGGAACAAAGATCCATATTTGATGTCATTTCCAAAAACAAAAAATTCTCCATATAACGAAACACATGTATTACCAGGAAGCCTTAAGTAATATGACAGAAAATGAAATTCTATTAGCCTGTTCACCTCAGGATCTGATGTTCCCCCTCCCGTTCTGTGAGCCAAGTAGAAAACTTCAATACGTGAACAAAGAAGTTTTTATCAACACTTCTTAGAGCGAAACAGGTATGACAAACAAACAAGAAATGCTGACTTTGGGCCATGGCATTGTTCTAAGACTTTAAATGGAGCTCACTTGCCACTCAGAGCCTTGTCTATGGGACTTTGACAGCCATTTTTACATCAAAAACTGCTAAGGCACAGAACTTGAAGAGACTTTCAGCCTGGTGACCCAGCTCATGTGTTTCTAGGGTGGAGCTACAGCCTGGGAAGTCAACTCTAGCATCTGTGTGGCATAGCTCTGCCAGCCTGCCGCTGGCCTCAGAAAAGGATGGCGCACACCAGGAAATGTGGTAGTGGCCTTTGAAGAAGGTGATATATTTTTTCATTCAGATGTATCTCCAATATCCCTCCTCCTCTTATTTCTACTCTTACCACCTTTATCTAAGCATCCTTCATTTCCTGTTGATGCTATGGCACTCATTTTTCTAATTTGTCTCATTTTCATTTCTAAGCACAAATGATAAGATATTTTTCCTATTCAAAAGCACGAGTATCTTCTCAGTGGTCCTAGACTCCCATCTTACTGGAGCTTACAAGGCCCTATGTGGCCGGTAGTCTACTCCACCCATGAAGAAGCTGACAGGACCATATGTGATTGCATCTAGTTTATCATTTTCTGTGGTGTTTCTCTACACTCTCCTCACGGGAGATCTGGGCTCCAGTTTTCCTCCAGTTCAATGGCACACGGACCCTCGCTGTCTTGTCTCCCTGTGACTTCTTGTCCTTGCTTGTTACCTCATTCTGATGAATCCTAACCTAGTTATGGCTTGAACAATCCTCTCCTGTGCAATGTTAGATTTCTAGGAACGTTTTAGCAGGGTCTTTGGTCTCCTTGCTAGTTTGCTGTCTACTTCGCTCTGTAGACTGAACGTTCCATGAGGCAGGCAGGAAGCCTTCTAATCACACCACTGTCTCACGTCCCTAAGTGTACAGACCTCCCTATATTTCTCAGATACAGAGCATTTGTTAAAATGATAAAATGGTACTCAATCCTTGATCCAAAATACAGTTATAGTCTACACAGGTCCACCAAAATCCTCAAACAGATTTAGATCTGTTTGTGATTGAAAGTTTGTGAAGTTTTCTTCTGCTTTATGTATTGTTTTTGTATCTTCCCAGGAACAGGAGAGTAGGGTTTCCTTTATGATGCTTTTTGTCAAGTGTGAATCTCAGTGGTTAGAGCATCTAGTCTACCTTCCGTCTGTGTTGAATCTTGTCTGTTTCTTCAGTAGGACTATCCACTTTCAGAGAACAGAAAATAAAGATTTAATTATTTTTGAACTTTAAGTGCCTAGTCAAAAACATGATGCATATCAAGAGCTCAATAAATGTCTGCTGTAAATTAACAAGTAAATTCTAACTAGTGGAAGTCATCACTTTTTTTTCTTCTTTTCTTTTTCTTTTTAGAAAGTATAGTGCTATAAAGTACTTTTAAATTAATGACAATTTATAATGTTTCTATAACTCTACAATTTTATTACATAGCTTTATTTATTTATTTATTAAAGATTTCTGCCTCTTCCCCGCCACCGCCTCCCATTTCCCTCCCCCTCCCCCATTCAAGTCCCCCTCCCTCATCAGCCCGAAGAGCAATCAGGGTTCCCTGCCCTGTGGGAAGTCCAAGGACCACCCACCTCCATCCAGGTCTAGTAAGGTGAGCATCCAAACCGCCTAGGCTCCCCCAAAGCCAGTATGTTCAGTAGGATCAAAATATTACATAGCATTTTAAACTAAGTTTCCTTCGAGCCTTTCGTTATGATACTAAACTACAAGAAGGCAACAATAGAATTCTTGTTATTAAATCTAAAAAAGAAACTTTTGTGAAATATCTTACATTTTAAAATGTATAAAAACAAAGTAATTGGATCACAGTAAAGGAGTACATTGTTTGTCTAGAAATCAGCTTCCTTTCCGTCTCAGTTATTCTGAACACAGTGGATCCGGAGTGTCCACAGTATCGGCACTCTGTTCAAGGATGTTCATGTGGGAACAGTGACTCTCATCCCATATGTAATCCTAGCATCCTTGTTTTAAAACACGACGAGGAGAAGAGTTAAGGGTCACTAGAGGCAGGCTCAGTGACCACAGAGAAAAGTAAACCTGTCAGGAAGGTGGGGAAATCAAACATTTTTAAAAGAAATATAGATCTAATTAATAAAAAAAATTAAAAACCACCAGCATTTCTGCAGGCTTTTTATTTAGTTGCTGCTGCTATGTTTTAGAATTCTGTCTGAGAATGTATGCTATAATCTTACAATTGATTCTAGTTCAATGAGTTAAGTAATGTTACATTAAATGAGCAATTTCTACCAAGGAAAATAAAACTGTCTACTATAGCTTGAGATAAAAACATGCATTATTTCTCATGATAACATGACAGATTATGAAAATGACTATAACTCAGGTGTTTAATGATCAATCTTTTAATATTCAACAAATCTAAGTCAATGAGAATAAAAACTACCCAATAGTTTTGAATAGGTAATTTTTTTACTCTGTTGAATTAAAACCTTAGTTCTAAATAAAAAAAAAATCCTATACACTTACAAGGCAACCTACAATAACTAAGTTCAAAATATACATATATGATATTCTTAATGAATCAATAAAATTGTAGTTATAGAATCTCTCCTTAGACTTCCCAAGGGAAGAGCTCCCTAACTGTGCATTCAGTGTCAAGTAGTTAACCCTAAAATAATATATATGCAAGTAATGTTATACACACTGAGCAGGTTGTATTTATATATGTAAGATTATATATCAAAAATCAAGGAAAAACAGATCTTAAATTTGAGAGAAAGCAGAAGAGGAGTTTATGGGAGTGGTTACTGATTAAAAAGGAAAGTAATATTTTAATTTCAAATATTAAAATAAACTTAAAAGTTTTTAAAAATAAATTTTAAAAGACCATTTCCAAGAACTCGAGAAAGGTAGATAGAGACAGGATTCTTCAATCTCTGCATAAAAATAAATAAAGGAATTATAGACAGTTGTAAATTATAAACAACTATAAATTATAAATAAATAAAACCTTCTAAAATATAGAACAGAAATTTCAAAACGTGTAAATAGAAAAACTACAGTACCTGTTGGGAGCCACTGAAATTTGTTGAATTGGAAACGGAATTATTTGCATAAATGGTAGATGATGGTGCGAAACTGGAGCCTAGAGGAAAGAAAATGCCCTTTAGCAGTTCCCATATTTGTGCAGCTGTAAAAGGGAATGAAATTCAGTCACTCATGGCAGTGTGGATGGGAGCAGAGGACACTGTGTCCAGTGAAGGAAGCCAAGCACAAAAAGATGAATGACACATACATTTTCATCATGGAGAGGTCCAGTAAGCTGATCTTAGAGAAGCTGAGGGGACAATAATGGGTAGCACAGTCTGGGTGAAGAAGGTGCAGGATAGAGATGTTAGTCCGTAGCTGCAGCTAACTCAAGAAGAAAGTGTTGATGTTGGATTGCACCTTGGCTGAGAGTAACATGGGTTGCTCTATTGAGTGCTGTCTCTCTACCTGAACCCAGCCATTTTCTTCAGGCTTCTGCCCAGCTAATTGTGTGTTCTTAGGAAATTGTATGAACCATGGTGAGACTAAAACCGTCTTTGTAACTGTTAGTTACACAGTAACATTTAAGGAATCTATGTTTTTTTCAGGAACATGTTTTATGCCTGGCTACTTACCTGGCATTTGGTAAGAGTAAGGTGTCTGGCCCGGTTGTGGGGTAGAAAACCCAGGGCTGTAACTGAGGCAGCCACTCTGTAATGGAGACTGAGTTTGGGAAAGCCCACTTTCTGTCTTGATGGCTGGCAACATCACACCAAGATCTGTTTAGAAAACACACAGGCAAACCACTTGTTTAGTAAGAGAATCTCCTTCTGTGCCTGGACTTTCACTAGTATGTTAAGCCATCTACCAGTCAAAAGGGATTACCTGATTCCTACCAAAGAACATAGCAGACGTTACCTACCGTAAGCAGGCAGGCTGTAGGTCTGTCCTGTCTGTGAGTAGGCTGTGTAGACGGCTGGCTGCTGCATCCCCGAATACTGAGTCTGGCCTGCATAGGCCGACATCGTTTGAGCTGCTGGTGTAGAAAGAATGTGTGGATAGGGCCTAAATATCAGAAAAATAGCATTACTGTGGCACAATGACTGCATATTAAATCAGACAGCTTTGATTAGGTGAGACCCTGTAACACCAAGGAAGCAAATCCCCCTCCTTATCCCCGACTTATCAGAAATGAATAAAAGCTGAGAGACAGCGAATAAATGCTTAAAAAGGAGCCTTGGCTTTGATGCCAGCCAGGCTGATGACCCGAGGAAAGAATTCAAAGGCTTGCAAGCTAGATAGCAGCTCTAAAACAAGCAACTGTGTTTAGACAGCATAGTGTCCTCTAGATCATCATTTCTTGCTCACGTCTACACCAGCACACCATTTAAAAACCCCACCAGGTATTCACTACTCAGATGTAAGTTTAGAAAAGAAGGATGCACCTTCCCATAAAGAAATGAAATGCCATTCCCTTTGTCGGGTCCATCTTATACAGTGTTCCCGACTGGAATCCAGTCCTTGGCCTATACTTAAAGCATTCTGGATGTGAAGTAGCATAACGTTGCATTTTCATATGCATGCATAGGACAGGTACAATTTTGGCATAGCTGACAAACAGGTGAATTCTGATGTAAGCCCATTAATTCAATTTAGCTCAACTTGAAATCTCTATTTGTCCTGCCCTCAAAACAGATGATTATACCAGTTATAAAAACAACATAATACTCTCAGAAGTATGTTTACTATAATTTGGACTCTAAGAAAATATTTTAGTGATCAACTGGATTATGAAATATTGTTTGGGTAAAATTTGATTTCTATATATTTTCTTGTATAGCCAATCACTGTTTAATTTTCCTTAAAAATGAGTATAAGCTTATTTTAAAAGTCGAATTCAAGTGCATATTTATATTTAAAATTTCAAATATATTTCAAGTTCTATCATTCTTTTAATTAGTATCAAACAAGGATAGTTACTTATTTTCAAGATAGCGTAGAAAATTATTTTTTGTACTAAACATTTGAAGCAAATACCTTGTGTAGCCGAGAAGTCCACATTTTTCAACAAATTCAAACTTGTGCATGAAATGCTTCAAATTTAAAAGTTAATAATATTCAAGTGTTCTGGTTTGAAGGATTTTGACGCTTTTTCTACTTGTTTTACACACAGCATGAAAACATAGAGATGACAGGAGTTATCCATATGTATGGGATATTTCTATTTTGAATTCGTGCAATGTAGACTCTTTCATGTCTAATCTAACTTTGCATCTCTCGTGCTTCAATAGTTATATGCATAAATATTTTCAATATAAAGTTGCCATATTATATAGGTACAAACGAACACATGTAATTTCAGAAACATTCCTAGCAAAACGGAATGTGCTGGGCACTTACTTGGAGGGATACAGCTGTGGGGAATACTGGTGCGCTGATCTGGGGCTGTAACCGCTACTCGTTATTACTGTAAGACACAAAAAGACAGTACACGAAGCATCGTTTCGTGAACACATCTTCACTAGTGAGTACATAACCTACTTCAGAAGATTATGGATTAAATATGCAATTCTTAAACTTCATTCACTTCCTCAAATTCATTGCATAAAGAAGCAGTTGGTTAGGTACCATCTTCATTTTAAAGTGTTTCAAGTTTTGTTGCAAGAGTATGGAGAGCCCATTCCTCCCACAAACACTCCCTTAGTCTTCCATTTTCTCAGGTCAGTGTGTGCTCTTTCTATTCAGATAGCTTACTGGCAAATGCCTTTGGTTACACAGTAAACTTTCATGGTACAAAAGTCAATGTTTTAAATGGGAAAACTTAACATTTTTACTCCAAATACAATCTTGATATACTGACTCCATATTTATTCTAATTAAAATAGACATTAAGAAGTTTGAGGTTCAAACTGTCATTCCTCAACTGTAGAATCCCACGGTTTCCAATTTCCTTCCATCCTATCAGTCAGGTGGGTGTTTAAAAATGCACAGCCAAAATGTTCTTGTAGTAAGAATGTGCACTGAGAGCATGGGTTATAATCCAATGTGTTTTGCGTGGTGTAAAATGTGTATCAATTTTATTCTCAAGCCTGTTTTGAACCATCAACGATAATATTTGTTGGAGAAGAGCTTAGGAGGGAAAGCCAGGTGATTTTAATATTTCATTCAAATTTGCGCCCCACAGCGGAATCTTTCCAAAAGTTTAGAAGTCTTTCTCCCCTTTAGCCATCTGCCTTGACTATGACAGATGTACTGCACATATATGGCTTCGAATATGTTGAACCAGTTCCCTCAGAGCCGGTCCGTACTGGGCGAGCACACAGAGTGTCTTTATTAGGCCATCTGCTGTTCATTCACATCTCAAAAAGATTAAAGTAGTACACAACCCAGTGCTGGCATGAGTTTAGTCTAATCAATCATAGTTAAACTTCAAAGTACTCCACCCTTTCTGAGTTGCTCCTATGAATGCTGGAGCTAAACTTTTAGACTGGCAAAGAGTGACAAATAGGCTTATGTTGCTGACTGCTTCATGCAATATGATACAGTCCTACGTCCAAGTGCTATCAAGTGCCCTTGCGAGCTCCACAGACATGAATGCAATGTGCTTCAGATGCTGTTTAGTTGGTATGTGTCGAGTATGGAAGTCAAACTTTAATTTTCATAGCAATGGTGTAGTAAGCATGTGTTCCCCCACACCATGAATCAGTCTTGAAAGTCATCAAATGTGACTTTAAAGGGGTTAAGTACTAAACATTTTAGGAACTGAATTTAAGTGAATTTCCTACATTACTTTCCACTTAAATTCTCTGAAACTAAAAAGAAAAATTTAAAACTTGAAATCAGATTAATGAAAACAGACCCTTGTACAATATTCTATGGACGCTAAACTTGCATTATTCAAAATTCCACAGTATTGAATATTATAACAGAAACTGCGTTAAGAAAGGCTTAAATCCAGGTTGCTTTTTCTGCTTTGTGATGGACTGACTACATGTCAGCACAAGAAAAACTTGAACTGTCCATACGGATGGGCTATCCTCAAGATTGAAAAATTGAAGCAATTTCAAATAAGACAAAATAACAAGAAATATTCACTTATAACATTTTTTATTAAATTAGGCAAAGCAGAATTCTATATTTCAGAAAAGACCTATATATACATGAACACCATTCTGAACATATAGAATGTTTTTTTCCTTCAATGAGTGAATCTAGACCTTGTGAGAATAATGTACCCCCAAACACCTCAAAGGCTTGATTGACCTTTAAAATTTTATATTAATGTCTACGAAATGGTCGAAGGCAAAACCTCTGGCTCAGAAAACTAAGATTATTATGGAAGGGATAAAACTTCTTTACTAGAACTTCTAATTTTTATTCAAATTGGTAAGTTTCTAGAAAACTGTACTGAACAACATAACCGATTAGGATGAGCTGTGATTGTGCTGATCACTGTAGAAGCTGTCTCTCCAGAAAGACCTGCAGACTGCTTTGTGATAGTCTGGAAACCTTTGTGTCAGGCCTCATTGCTATGCAGCAACTCATACATAATCTTCAAAGCCCTGGATTCATTATACTTTATCATGTCTACAAACAGAAAGAAGCAAAACCTTTAGAAGATCTTGAAAAATGATTTAAGAACTTGTAATGCTTATCACCAGTTTCTCAGAAAATGGGAACAAAAAATGTTAAGGCTTTTATCTATTATATAAATGTATTTATATTTATATATGTATACATATATAAACTTAAATCCTTTAAGGAAGAAGAGAAGTAGTGGGGGTATTTAATCTAGTAGGGGATGTTTTGTAGTACCACAGTTTGGGTGCTGCTGATATTTGGACTAGAATCTTGTTTGAGCATCTCACAGTGCAGCCCACGGCTACCTCAAAATCATCAGTTGTCGTGGGCAAGATCCAGTGTGGACCACTGATATCCAGTAAAGCTTTCATGGAGTTATGTGTGTTCCGTATCTGTGTTGTCTCTCAGGTGGCCACCGGCCATGGAATTACATAATTGGTATGTGGCTAGTTTAACCGAAAACAACTTTTCTTTGCTTCACTAAGTTTAAATTTACCGATATTAAATGATCATATATTGGAAGTAACTACTTTACTTAGGTCATGGAGCCCTCAAGAATTCTTATCAGAAGACTAAGAAAGTGTCTTTAGAGGTGGTATGAGTGAAAAAAAAATAGGACCATTGCTTAGATTTATTCTTTCTCTGTCCTAGTATTTCCCACCAGAATACCGTAATAAGGGCCTGGTTATGAGCACATGGTTCTCAACTCATTTATACTTGGCTATGTGGTTAAAGCACTCTAGGATCTCTCTGGACTTTAGTATTTTTATTGGTAAAATGAACTGTGGAGTTCTGAAACTACATTTGGAGCTCATCAGCTGCAGATTTCCCACTCAGCCTTCCACGAACTTGTATATTCTTGAAGCACAATAGCAATTGCTTAATAATCTCACACCGTTTCCCCCCAGTTCATTCATATACACGCATTTTGTAGAAAATTGATAGCAGTTATGGTTTGCAAGCACGACAGAGCAATGCAGTGTGTGGGTGCCTATTGATCTCCTGTGAGGCAGCTGAATTGCTGAAAAGCACAGATCAGCACAGATGAGTCTTTATGCCAAGTTGGTACACTAGTATTTATTTCCATCTGCAGTACTAATACTTATGTGCATGTATGACAACTGCTCCAATTAGTGTGAAATAATAAAGCTGGATCATCTGTTTCCATAAAAAATGAAATACATTCCATAATGCTATGTTAGACTCAAAGACATAACCTCAACTCTTTGTACACAAAGCACACCCACATAAAATCCATGCACAAGAGACCATGGATAAACATAAAATGTATTAATGCAGAATTACGGAACTGAGATTTAACTACCATAACACTTCTCTGGGTTTCATGTTTATTTTTGTGATATATGCATTCCTTCTTGAGTTTCCAAAATTTCATTCATTAGATAATAAGTGATACAAAACGGTAATATAAAAAAAAATCTTTAAGTCATTTCAATTTGTACCCTTTGTGACCAGCTGGGAGTTATCAGGTATTTATATTTAAAAAGGATTCGTTTTTAAAGACACACTATTGTTCTCTTTGAAGCACAGGACTTCTCTCCCAGGCGGCGTTCTAATGTAACCAGCATGTGTTCTCCAGAAACCCATTAACCTTTAATACCTGTCACTCAGCTGCCTACACAGGAGGACTTTCTTAAACCCAGAGAGGAAACAAGGCTATTTAGAAGGGATCAAATGGATAGTTTTACATCTAGAAGGCTGGGCAGAAGGCAGTTTTTAATGTAATTTAAATAGGCAAGTTGAAGGAACAAAGTTAGCTATTATGGGCCTAATGATTAAATTGATCATGCAGTCTATAAAATAATGAAGAGAGCTGGCTCTGCTAATGAGAAAGTCATGGGATTGCTGCAGCGCAGGCTGCAGATTTGGCAGAAGGATTCCAAACACCATTTGTAAAAACACATAATTGTAAGACAATTAGCTCTTCAGGAAAGTGGGTTTCTGGCTGACTCTGCAGAGGCGAATGCTCTCATAGCTTTGATCCTGAGCTGCTCTCAAGGAGGAGGATGTTTAAGGACCCCAGCGTGGACACAGCGACACGAGCTAAAGGCTTTACCTGACCCAGTAAAAGTGTCAAGCGCTCCATCTCCAGTCGTGGTTGTGGTTTCATTGCTGTTCAAGGGCTCTGTTTTGACTGCAAGAAGAGACACTACGTGGAAGAATAAGTACACGTGAGTTTTCCTTCTAAATTCGTAGCAAAGACCCTTACTGCCAGTGATATATATATATATATATGATATAATCTAGCTATCACGGGCATGCAAGAGAAAACTTGAGAAGTAGATGAGGAAAGTTTTGTTAATTTAGCTTCTATATGGGCATGCATTTAGAGAGGATTTATTCTAAAAATCCTCTGGCTGGGCTGGTTCTGAGATTCTGGCTTTTAAAGGCAGCGAGCCTTCAAAAGTAAAACAGCACCACTCATATTTGCATTGTTTTTTGGAAAAAAGAACTCTCTTAAGCACACTTTCATACAGTCAGTGGACAGAAGAGAAACTGTCAGTGTCCTAACCACATTTAATTCAAGTTGTAACAATAATATTTACAACCTTCACTTTTAATCTTTCCAAGAAAATATTTAAAGAGAAAATTGCATTAGAATCCAATGAGGGCATACACAAGTACTTGAAACCCCAAGCCTATTCCCATGGTGAAAACAAGGTATTCACTATTAAAATATTCTGATAAAATAAACAAGCAAATCATAAAGCAAAATACCAAAAGAAGGTTTCTTAAAGTGTTGGAATTTTCTATTTAACGATATAACAATTTTGAGGTCTTTGAGATAAGCACCGAATAAGAGAAGGCGTCTACAATATTACAAGTATCTTCATCAAATGCTTGTCATATGTAATGCTGGCAAAGTCCTCCCTTGGCACTGAAGCAGGCTGGCACACACTGTCATCATTATCACATGCAATGGGGGGGTGGTGGCAGTGACAAAGCCTCTACTCATTTGGTCACACCATATTTTCCCTTCATTGGCATAACCTTATCACATGTGTATAGCACAGCAGTCGGGGGAAAAATTAAGTTATTTTCTACTTAGCACCTCACATGTATCCTGGTTGTAAGTGGTCTGGTACAGTTAAGGAACTTAGAAGCAAGCAGAACACTAGAGACAAATGTTGAAGTCTAGCCAACCATGAGTCAGTATGCTAGAAAAGACTAGTGTTCTCGTATAACACCAACCAACCAAGCAAGACAGCAACACGACTGTATGAGAGAAGCGACTGACTGATAGGAAGCATGCAGTGACATTACACCCGTCTGTCCCCGAGTTAGCCAAGTCCTCACCAAAGTCTAGGTTTAGTATCCACAAACGAGTAAGAATGTAAATTGATAGAGGATTCAGAGAACTGTAAAGGTTGAATGTGAAGTGAAACACACATACACACACATGTGTGCACACACAAAAACTACTTAAGTTTGGGGTAAGAAAAAATTAGGGTTAGCCTCTTTTTCAATACTAACAATAATTTTTCTAGTCTACTTATTTGTGTAGATAATGAATCTGTAGCTACTACATTCAATAATTTTCATTCACAGTGTAATCGATATAAACCTACACTTACCACTGTAAAAACTACTGACTATTGCAAAATTATTTATTATGTTTTCAGAATTGACTAATGTTTTAGAACTAGTATGTTCAGTAAAGCTTGATTGGAACCCCAATGGCTCTTTGCACTTAACACTTATGATCTATGTACCATGATAGGCTGTGTGAAATTGCCATATCCAGAAAGTGGCTCAGAGTATGATAAAAAAAAATATATGATTTCCGTTTAGAGTGATTCTAATTACTTCACTGTAGCGAAAATATGCAAAATACTTGGATCGACTATGAAGCTATGTTATACATGTTTTCTTGAAGGATTATTTTCAAGCAGTGAGAGGTGGCATGGTTAAAAGTAGATCTAGGAGAGCACACTCAAAAGGTGCCTAACACACTCTAGGCACTCTAGGTGCATTGGAAGAAATCACATAAGCGATGAATTCATTTACTCCCACAGAAGTTAGTGAAGATTATCACATCTTCATTTTCAAAGGACAGACTGAGACATAAAATAATAAATAAGTCGTTCTGATCACATTGATGGGAAGAGCTTGAATTTGACACCAGCTGGTGAACTCACAGGATCCACTCTTTACGTTGTACTGTCTTCAAGCACCACCAGATTACCAAAACTCTCTTCATCTGCATAAGGATAATCCAGAGAATGATCTAGATGGGTGCGGAGGCTACTCTGCATGGTTCAAGTTCCCCACTTTACTCCTGACACCAATGACACAAAGCATAGTCCAAAGCCTTCTGCGAAGACAAGAGACAGCCTCTCGGAGTTTCCAAATTCTAAAATGGCTATGTACATGTTTAAACATGCCTGTATCTATAAACAATACTGTAAAAGAGATTTATTATACCTCTACAAGATGTCTCCCTTGTGAAATGAGAGGAGCAGAAGGTGAATCAAGTTTGACAAAACTGATCTAGAAGCCAGACATGTTGACGGTCATTAGTTTTGTTTCCTTGGACGCTAACTTTGAGAGTTTATTTAAACATTACTCAGCATTGGTTTTGATTATAATTTCCTGAATTTGAAAGCTTCAGGCAGTCAAAAGGAGAAAGAAGACGAGAAGAGGGTGGAGTTGACCCTTTCGTAATACTGGTAACATCTTTCATTAATTTTCAAAGTCTCTGTTCAGGACAAAAGTGGTTTATTTTACTGAGAAAGGCCATCCCTGGAGATAATGTGAAGGAATGCAGAAATATCGATAGGTGTTCAGTGTTCCGAAGTGAATGGATCTTAAAGTAACAAGTCAACAAAATTAATACTAATATTTGTAGAAAAAATATAATAATCTCAAAATGATTTTCCTTTTCAGGGAAGGGCAGTATAAAATAGAAAGGGCTTGTCTGTGATCATAGTGTTGTAAAATCTTTCTGGTCATGGGAGCTAATCTCAGCTGAGCCTGATTAATCTTGGCTAGAAGAAAAGGGAACAAAGTTGATTATTTTTTTTTCTCAACAGATAAATCAGCTTTTAAATTACATGGGAATTGGCAAATCACCAGAGCTCCTAGGAAGCTGCCTTTATTTTGCTATTATTTCTTAAAGAAAAAGGCTATTCATTAATAAGAACTAATCCAATTTTCCTCAATGGCAGAAAACTCAAACAGGAAAATCAATATTTCTCTATCATTAAAATGGTTATAAAACATTAGAAAAGGGTATTAGAATATTTTGATACTATAAAACAAGTAGCATAAAATATACATTATATCAAAATTATAAAAAGTCCTTCAAAATTGATGTCATGTCCCTGGACTTTCAAATATGTTTGAGTTATATTGACTATTTGTCTGTTTTATTTTTGTTTCTTCATTTTTAATGAGATATAAAATAAACAGTCCAGGTAAAAACTGTTTATTATGTACATGGTGCTATTAGGAAAATGTTCATTAACAAACCTTGCCTTTTTACAATTTTTTGAAAACTTACAAAAATCTAAATTCAATACATAACATGGAAATATTTGAAATACTGTAATCCATGTGTTAATTTTGTAAAAGAATATATATGTATAATTTATATATAAAGAAGGATCATTACTTATTTTCAGGATAGCATCCAAAATCACACACACACACACACACACACACACACACACACACACACATATAGATACAAATATATATATACATATATAATGGAAGTAAAAACCTTGTATGGTAGAAAACTCCAGGTTTTTTCAGAAAAGATCAAATTCTTGCAATAATTACTTTGAAATAAAATCAATAGTCACCATGCAAATGTGATAGTGTAAGAAGTTCTGAGGCTTTCTTCTTCTACATGCTCAAATAAAAAAAAATTCTATCCATTTCTCTAAGAATAGGATAGAGTAAATCTTACTGCATTCTGAATCATTTTGTTAAGGAACACCTGCAACATCAGTCCAGTCACTAACTCTTTTCTACATACAGCTGGGTGCCTTGCAAAGAGGCAATAGTAAATATATATATATGTGTGTGTGTGTGTGCATATACATATAAATGCATATATATGTATGCATGTCATATAAAACTATATATGTATATATACATGATTAGCTTTTGACAAAACTATGTATATATAGTTTTGTGAACTATATAAATGACTAACCTTTTTAAAATTTTATATATATATATATATATATATAGCTAGGTTTTTAATACTTTAGCTTTTTATATAATTGCTATCTACAAACTATGTCCAGATCACGTGTGACAAGTGTCAGCAATCATTTATAGTTTCTAAATGTTCATATCACTCCTCCATTTTCATCCCAGTTCCCATTTCATTTTTCAAAGCCAAACTGATCTTGTCCCCTTGGATTATCTTTAGAATTTAGGCTTAAAGGCAATACATGACATCATTTTGGGAAAAAATTCATTTAAATACCCAAACACAAAGCTGATGCTCATCGGTCACACTCTCACGCTCGTATTCTTGGAAGGTAGGCCAATAATTTGCAGTTTGCATTTCATTTTCAGAAATCTGTGCTCAAACTGTTATGTATATAACTCCACACACTTCTTTCTTGACCATAGTAATTACACATGGTGGCCTTTTTCAAATAGTATATTTTGGTCACGTTTTTCTTCTCCCCACCCAACTTCATGTTCTTCCTCTATCTCTTTCTCTGACTTTTGACAGATTCTGCAAGGAATTTCAACGAGAGAATCATGGGCTGGAGAGATGGGTCAGCCACTAAAGAACAGTCGGACTCACAGCTGAGAAAACGTAAGGAGAGATCGATTAAGAATGTTCCCATTTATAACACTACTTGGAAGCTGGCATCACCTTCCAGTTTTAATCACCACCATAGCACATCATTTATGTCTGTGTGGAGCAATATATTCACCAAAAAAAAGTATAAGGACCTGTTAGCGTCCTTTCTTCCTAATTGTACAATTAATATTTAATTTTGCGTAAGAATTTAATGAAGCCAATTTAAGGGTATCATTCTCCAAGAATATATAAAAATGTATAGTTGTAGAATACAAGAGTAGATTTTAGTAGCAGGGGGCTCTTTTTCCAAATAAATGACATCCAGAAACAAATTTGCTGCGTGTGAGTTATTTGTCTACATGTTGAAAGTTCTGGAAGATTCCTTGGTATATCAACTGCAAATTTAAAAAATGCAACTGATAAAAGTGTCTTGGCTTTGATTCCCCAGATCTCTTCTTTGAGGAATTCTTAAGCTCTAAGATAAATGAAATCTTCACCCACTCTTGGTTGCACACTCAGCTTGGATACACCATGACATTCTTGGTCATTTTCATGTCTGTTTCTCTTTGTTGTCTCTTTGTTTCTCTTTGTTGTCTCTTTGTTTCTCTTTGTTGTCTCTTTGTTTCTCTTTGATGTCTGAATGGTCAGTAGCACATCGTTTAGGGAACTGGTTTCTCATTTGCTAGTACCAAGCAAGGTTATAATTGGACCTCGATATGATTCAATTAAGTGAGAAAATAAAAATTCACTGTGTTTGACATTGCAGTTAGCACTCTTAAAAGAGCTAAGTGTTTTTTGTATATGACATGCAGTGAGTCAAGGTTCCTGACACTTTCTAAAATTCAAATCAGGAATTACCTGTATCAGGAAGAAGGTTCTCAGATGTCTATAAATAATTGTTTCGTCTACAATGTGTCAATAGACATGCCAAATCTGCCTTATGATCTGTTCGCTTTCTTTGTGGGCTGAGAATGATTATAAAGCTATGGAGGAATAGTTTATGATTTGAAATCTGTATTCCACCATTTTTAAGTCAATTTTATTTAAACACAGGCAGGCTCAATTTTTTAGGTACTGTTCTTGTATCAATGTAATAACAGTGGGGTTGAAATAATTACATGCCCACACAGCCCACAAAGTTTCACCATTGACTTATTTGTGAAGCCCTCCCATCAACCCTCCCTCTCTACCCACCTTAGTATCCTGAGTGTTAGGACTGTAGGTACCACAGTACCAAACCTGGCTCCTACCCTTTACCTTTCGTTGGCTTTTACAAATGATGAAATTATGAGGTGAAAATGTGGGTTTAAGCATAAATCACCACATAGACTGATATAATAGTAACTAAAGTGATATAACATCTTAGCTCACTTTAAGAAATATTGTGACACACTTAAGTGACACTAACAAGGAGGCAGAGTCTTGAGGTGATGCTTCAACTTATATAAACATCTATGCAACTAAAATTTGTTTTAATGGTAAGGGAAATCAGGAGAAAGACATTAGATTTTAGCTTTTCTTTTTATTTTGTTGTAACAAATTTATCAAATGAGCTAAATCTAATTGTAAAACCATTCTTATAATAAAGTATGTCGGGCCAGAGAGATGGTTCACCGATGACAAAGGCAGAGACCTGAGATCAGTTCCAATCATGCTTATCAAGGGGCTCACAAACACCTGTAAATCCTGCTCCAGGGGCACACACACACACACACACACACACACACACCACACACACATATACACACACGGGAGTGCACAGAACTAAAAATAATAATAAAAACAAACCTTAAAAAACATTTTATCCCCAACAAGAGAGATCACAACAGGAAATATTTAGCTTGCATTATAAAGAACTGCTAGTAAGCCGTTAGAATTTGTTAAAATTTTCCTATCAGTATGCCACCAAGTTTACATCATTAGTTATTACTAATACCACTCAAAATGGTATCAATATAGTCTTAGCATATTGAGTTGCTTTCTTGGGCCCAGTTTAAACAATTGTACATTCAGGGAAATTATAACATGATAAGTAATACTTTCATACAATGCACATTTTCAGTTTCCTTAAAAACTATTATCTAATTATTATAGAATTATCTACTGAAAGAAAACTATATTGGTGTTTATCGCCAACCAAGTTATATATGCTATCTATAACAAAAATACCTGCCAGCAAGGATACAATTTTCCTTTAACATATAGGAACTAAAACTTGGGAAGCATGAGGAACTTGTTCAAGGTGACACAGACAGGGTGCTATGGTTCAGATTCACTGTGTTCCTGTTACACATCTTCCTGAGCATAACATTAGGAACCAGGAAATGTGATGCTTTACATTTAGAAAGTTGTTTCTGGGTGAGATGACATGGACAGGATGAAACATTCTTTGCAGGAGTTCGCCATGGTAACACCGCATCACATGTGATTACAATACTATCATTCTAGAACAAATATCAGTGAGCCATGAAATGAATTTTACATTGTACTACTTTTAAAAGCGGCAAATTCAGAAAATTTTGCAACACAACATATTTGTAATACAAGAGAAGTATGTGGAATTTAAATTTCATGGTGTATAAATACAGTTTTGCTGGAACCGGACCGTGTTCATTTACATACTGCCCATTGCTTCTAAACATTAGAGGCTATGAATTGCTGGAACAGAATGAATGACTGACCTAGCAACGGGGAAGAACATTTCTAGCTGGCTCCTTACCAAAAATAATCAAGAATAACTACACTCTGGCAACAGTTTTTAAGCATGAAAAGTATATTTCAAGCATGAAAATGGAAAATATTTATGATTCAAACTATGAAAATATAAATGATGAACAGAATAAAATGGTCTTTACTTATTTGTCATATATTTTAATTTAATCTAAAGTAGAGCAATGTCCAGCCAAACTGTGTTTATTCTAATTCCTGGATGGGATCTACGCTTTCATTTAAATCCTAAGCTGTCAGGCAATGCAGAAGTGTGATGCTTTTATTTCAACTTTTAACTTTTGATTACATATTAGTTTTTATTCTAGGACAGTGGTCTTCAACTTCCCTAGCGCTGTAACTCCTTAAGACAGTCCCTCATGTTGTGGTGACTCCCAAACAAAAAATATTATTTTGTTGCTACTTCCTAGCTGTAATTTTGCTACTGCTATGAATTATAATGTAAATATCTGATATGCGAGATATCTTATATTTAATCCCAAAGAATTCATGACTCACAGGTTGAGAACCACTGTTCTTGGAGAATTCTTACTTGTATGTATAAATGCCATCAATATCAATGGATTGGAACATATGAACAGACTTAATCTATAAACTTATTATTTATTTGTTTATTCAACTTATTAGTCGACATGGGGTTTTACTTTGTCTGGACTTCAACTAGTGAGTTTTCGACTTCATCTTTCCAAGTAGCTGGAATTACAGACATATTCCACTGTGTCAGGCTAATAATTTTATTTACACAGCTTTTATTACTAGTAACTCTTAGAATGGTAGGATAGTAAGTGCTAATTTTATTTTAGATTCTTTGGAATATTTATCAAAGAATATAAAATAGCAGAAACCCTGTTGCAGTATTAAGAATTTAAAAGGTTCAAATAAAAGGGTCATTAGGTAATTAGGTTTCTATGAATGTTCATTGGCTTTGACTGTTCCGATTAACATAAATTTATTACACTGAATGAACCATATAAGAACCTGGTCATTATCTATGAGTCAATATGATCACCATTGGTGCAGAATTATGAAAATAAGAGAAAAACCCTATTGATCCAAGCATGTAAGATTAATAAATGACAGACAACTCTTAACCACGGCTTGTTTACTTTTTTCACTCTTGCTTCTGAATATGGAATGTAGAATAGAGGGGCAAACATAGAGGCAGTAGCAGACAGCAAACCAGAGGTCAAATCCACACACCCAAACACATGCAGTGTACCATCGGCTCGCATACTTGTTGCAGAAGAGGGGGTGTTGCAACTCAGCAGCCAGTCTGCTGTGTTTAAAACAGTCATGTTGTCCCCTGAGAACAGGAACAGTATAAGAGTTCAATGTCTGAAGGGCTGCTGAGTGAACTTGAGTAATCTTCAATGCTGGCACCACTTTCCGATCTTTTAGCGAGACTCTTAACTGCACTGTGTGCCTGCTATGTTCGAGTGTATCAGATCTGCTCTGGTGCTCTGAAATATATGTGTGAGTCATGAAACTCCCAGGTCGTCTTTCAGGGTGCTGAATTTTTCAGTCGTATTATCTGTAATCACCTTTGACTTTAAAGGTAAATGTTCTTACTCCAGCGGTTATAGCTAAATATTCCTATGTACTTGCAATCCCATATCCATGAATTAGCTGAAATTATAGATGCATGTTTAGAGACAAATAAACAAAGGAAGTGTTAATCTACAAAGGGTTTGGTGTAACACATCATTAAATGCAGGGTAGGTTGCAATGCACACAACTGAACAAAGAAAACCATGGACTTCGGATTAATTGGGAAGGGTGTATCAATCTCACAGATTTATTTAAAATGTAAAAGAAAATATGATGTGGCAAATGCTGATTTCTGGCGCTATGAGTAGTTTTCTAAGTAAAATAGGTTTTGCATAAATCTGACTTTGGTACCTAGGCTGAATCTACAAAATTCAGCATGATAGTGAATAATATATGAAAAACTTTCATATTGCTTGTGGGTATATATTCTGTATTATCTCTAACTATACATATTTTTACACAGTTGGATCATATGTTCTGACAAGTTGAATAAATATTAAATCCTTAAAATTAATAAAAGACAATATTTCAAATAACTACTTATTGTTGCCATAGGTTGTATCATAATTATGATTTAATAAAATGAGAATATTATCTGGGAAGATATGCTATTCTCTTTCATGTAAGTGCTAGGTATCATATTATTATTTTTGAAAATGTAGTAGATATAAATATTTTGTTGCATTTTAAGTCCATTGCAAGACGCACCATTTTAATGAAAAATGTTAGGGTAACATTTTTTATTTAAAATTTAAACTAAAACAAAAATATTCAATTGCAAATTTATGCAAACATCCATATGTAATATCTTTTATTCACAATTTTTAAATTCTGTGGAATATTTACAAATACAAAAAAAGGTAACCTTTTGAAATTTTTTAAAAACGTTTCTCAGAAAAATCTATTCTCACAGCTATAGATAAAGGATTCAATGTTTATGATAAGTAGAATACTTAATCATACACTAGCTGGATAATCTTTGGATACAATTTTGATTATGGCATCAATAGTAGGATAGTTATTTACTAACAACCCCTGACATATAAACTTAAAGCAAACACTTAGATGTGAGTCTGGGCATCTCTAGGATAGCACTTACCTCCTGTCCCATTTGTTGTGACTGACGTGGTGCTGAGACTGGATTTATCCAGTTTAGAGCCCCCATGTGTGTCACTGCCTCCTACCAAGGCATGGGGACTCGCTAGGTCTTGCATTTCCATAGACCTGTTGGAATAGGAGGCAACAGAGATCAAACTAAAATTTCAGCAAATATTTTTCCCTTGAAATCTTTGATTGCTCATGTGTGTGAGCGGCAGTACAATGAAAACAGGGCCGGTTTCCACAATGAGACTGCATGATTTACTTTTCTGTGCAAAATCCTACACACATGTTCCATGTAATGATGCAAAGAAATGAGCAGACTCCAATCATGGCCATCCATGTTGGCACTGATGGCTTCCTGAAAACAATTCACCTCTGGTACCAACACAGAGGATGGAGAAAATGTTTAACTCCCATAACTTGTAATCAGTAGCCATAAATGATCTGAATTCAAAAGCAGAGAAAATTCTAGAGACCTTCTTGATCCAAGTGGCTTGAAAACAAACTTGAGGCTGACAACCAGATCTGTAACACTTCTAACAACCACTGAGGAAGAGGAGACTGAGACATGATTTTGCTTCCGACAATGTGGCAAGAAATACACTCAATAAATCTGAGATCCTGAAAGGATGAACGTTTTCTGACAAAATTAAAGGAAGAAAGATGCAACGCTATGAACATGATTAAAACCCCTAGATGTGATTTCACAATGGTCAACATTTTAAATAAGATCTACAAATAAATACCTTAAAAATACTTTATTACCAATGTGACTTAACATACAGGACTTCATAGTAACTATAGAAATAAGTTATTTTCAGTTATATATGGGACACTTCTAGAAGGACTATGCTAGTCTACAAGATAAATACTACCAGGACTTTAAATGTAAATCTTATAGACTATAATTAAAACCCAAACCTTTCCAAATTAAATGTTATACTTCTAAGTATAAACTTCCTAAGAATAATTACAAAATAAATGTATGTGACACAATAATAGTAAAAATACATCAATTCAAAACATGTGGTATATAAATATAGTGATTTAGTAAGAAATAAGGGAGGGGCTTAAAAAATTGATGATCTACATTTCCACCCAAGACACTAAAACCTGGAAAATAAGGAGATATCAGTAGGAGGAAACAATAAAAGGAAGAAATTTTGAAATAAAAAGTTTCGTGATCAATACAAATGATTTTTGACTCCAGAAGATCACTAGAGACAATGGTGGTATTCAAAGAATGGGGAAATAGACATGCCAAGCCAAAGAACTTAAGGATGGATAAAACTGATGAGTTTCTTGAAAGGTCAAACCTGGCCCAGTAAAAAATGTAGTAAATCCCCAAACCAATTATCAATAAGAAATTCCAGGGATGAAACTGAAAAAAAGAAAGAAAGAAAGAAAGAAAGAAAGGAAGGAAGGAAGGAAGGAAGAAAGAAAGAAAGAAAGAAAGAAAGAAAGAAAGAAAGAAAGAAAGAAAAGTTAGACAGGAAAATGCCTGCTTGGCAGGCATAAAGAACCATGTTCAAATCTCCAGCACCTATGTGAAGGTTGTGCAAGGAGGGCCATGCCTGCAATGCCAAAGCCTGGCAGTGGAGATATGCGCTCCTCAAATGTACTGGCCAGTTAACTAAATTAGTGAGCTTAAGGTTCAAGAAGATAGCCTATCCCGAGAATGGAGTCAAGAGGCATCCCCAAAATCACCCAAAGTTTTCCCCTGTGCTTCATGTGCTTGTGCTCACACAAGCCACCTCCATGCACATGAACACATCCTCTCCACTGAACATATATGTACCCACATAGACATGTCACACGCTAAAAAGTATGCTTTAAAATTGAAACACAAAGATAACTCTGGAGATATTCCACTAATAAATGCTAACAAACATTTGAGGAAAAATAATATTATGCAAATTTTGTCAGCTGGGAGTAGGAGGGAATTTTTTTTTTTTTTTTTTTTTTTTTTTTTTTTTTTTTTTGCTATAGGAGAGTAGCATTATTTCCACCCAGAACCAAACAAAGGCAGTTTCAAGAAGAACATCATGGATTCATACTTATCCCAAATACAGCCAAGAAGATAGTACTATCAAATAGAAACCAGCATGGAAAAGGAAGCTGTATTAGGGCCAGTGTGGTTTATTCTGGAAGTGCAAGATAGCTTTAACATCTGGAGACTTATGTAATGCAATATATTAATGGACACTAAGTCCACGGTTGCAAAGATGTACTGGATATTATTCACTTTTCTTTTACATCATACATTCTAGGTAAACCAAGGTGTTTTCCTTCATCTGAAGAAAAACTATTCCTGAAAATGTGAACAGCTTGTACCACATTTCATGAAGAAATACTGGATTCTTTTAGCACAAGGAAACAGATGTGTATTTTCCACTCTGGCACAGTGTTCATGCAACAGAAAATAAAATAGTAATAGGAAATAAGATAGAAAGCTAAATGATGTTCAGAAGTCTAAGGAGGATCCTCTTTAATTCATATCTGTATCAGTTATTACTTTTGTTTTTGTGGAGAAATTTGAAATCTATTGGGCGAATTTCCCGAAAGTCAAAGACAAAAGGACTTTGCTAGAAGTAAACAAAAGCAAAAAGTGTCTTTATCTTCAGTTGGATCATAGTTCAGACACTGAGCTATCAAGATGGTGGGTTGTCAAGGGAGCTGGAAGTTGAGCTGCTCATAATGCAGCTACAGCTCAGCATGTCCCTAGAAGGTTCTTGAATGATATATACTTGCCTTAACTACCATGTAACAGAAAGGGTTGGGACTTTGGGAAACATTAACAAAATAAAACCAATACAATGCTTTAGAGTTCATGGAGCTTCCTTATGCTTCAGAAATCGGAATCAGAGGAATCCAGGAAATCTGACCCCCAGTAGAGGAAAAGAGCATTATCTAGAAGCAGGCTTCTGTATGAAGTAGGTGTTAGAACCAGACTTGGATAGCCTCCATCTAGGGCAGTATTCTTTGTATATGTTGTCACCTTCTGTACTACTCTACTGACAGAAAACAAGTAAAAATTAATTCTTGGGCTCTGCTAATTAGAGATAAAACTCCAGACAGATGCTTGTGGTGTGTATATGACCAAGAGCATGAGGAACACTGAAGGAGGCTTGAAACAGACATCTTAGAAGTAACAGAGATGACTTCTCTATCAGGCAAACAGATGCTGTGTTCATGGGGCCATTTATCGTCTGCTGATTCTCACTAGTATCCTTTCACAGTAATATACGGCAGCCGTCAATCAGTTAGTATCATCTGAATTATGTGAGTCCTTCCGCCAATCACTGAGCCTGAGGCTGGAAATGCGGATCCTCCCACTTATAGAGCAACTTTCACAGACTCAGATTTCTACTAGATGCCTTAACTGGTTCTCAGTACAAACAAAGGCTTCTCCACATGAGAAGAGGCTCTGCCTTGGGATTTTAGGTTTAGAATATTAACAATCCATTGATGGGACAGACAGCAATGGAAACTTAAAAGAATCAGCAATTTTTTTTCTGAAATTGCTAGCTGATTTTTGATTGGTTCAAATAAGGATCCCCAAGGGAGACTTCTAGTCAATGGTATTACTAAAGACTGACTCCTCGCCAGTTTGGACTATGTAAAAGATGGGTAAGCCAGGAAAATCAGTCAGGAATGAAAGAATGGCTCAAACACATCAGAAAGGAGTGGAGAGAAAACACAACATGTTGGAGGAAGGCCGCTTGTTCATCCTGGCTGCCCAGAACTAAAATAATTACACAGAAACTGTATTAATTAAATCACTGCTTGGTCCATTAGGTCTGGCTTCTTATTGGATAACTGTTACATATTAATTTAACCCATATTAATTTTTATTAATCTATGTATTGCTACATGGCAGTGGCTTACAGGGCAAAGTTCTAACTGGCTGCTGCGGGGTTACAAGGCTTCTCTCTGACTCCACTCTCTTTCTCACAGCATTCCATTTAGTTTTCCCCACCTAGCTCTGTTCCCCTATAGCTCTGCTATGGGCCCAAAGAAGTTCCTTTATCAACCAATGATATTCACAGCATATGGAGGGAAATCCTGCATCACCTCCCCCTTTCTGCTTAAATGAAAAGGAAGGTTTTAACTTTAGGGAAATCCTGCATTAAAACATGGTGCTTCTGCAGAACAACAAAAATTAGCCTGTGAAATAAATACAACCCTAGCAGGTTGCAGTCCATTCCACGGGAAATGAAAATGCATTTCAGTGGAAATTTACAGTGGAGCTCCTCGGTCATATTTGTTTTAGTGAGGTAAAACATCCTACAATTAAAGAAGCCTTTACCAAACAGAAATATAGCATTATTACCATGAGTCTAGAAGTATCTTTCTATAGTATCTCCTTGGTAAGACATTTAATCATCAAACCAGACACTTTCAAAGTTCAATAGTAATAGAATATTTTTTTGAGAGTTACCAAAGTCAACAGAACATCTATTTTTCCCCACATAACACTGTATGTTATGTTTAAATGTGACTCTATCTCTTAGGATGTCTATTTGAATCCGCTTTTAATGACCATTAAATCATCGGGCTTTTAAACATCAGAATCTGTCTGGGCAATTTATATAACTGAACTTAGTCTTAACCTGAAGTGGTCATTAAAGAGAAGAAATGAGAGAATTCCAGGATTTAGGGATTAGCTTCTTGATTCTTTCCTCTAGTCTTTGCTTGTAGCACTGACAGAATTTGATGTGAACATTCTGAAGGGTCTGTCCTCTTTGAACCCCTTTGTTAAGGGCAAAGCTTAACTCTGTGTACTGTAGAATCGATTCCAACTCAGACACCGTGATTCACTCTTTGCTGAGCCTGGTGATGAGTCAGGGCCCGGTTATTTATAGAGTCCCTCCATCAGCTGTTCAGGACCCAAGAAATGCAAAAGTGTCCTGAACTCCACAACGCTGTCACAACAGCTGCTGCTCTTTGTAAGAAATGGACATTCTAGGGACAGGGTTCGAGATCCCAACTTCTCATTGTCTCCCTAGACAAGCTGCGCTCTGGCCGACCACTGGATGGATGCATGTGAAGTTCTGGGTTTGGTGTTTGCTCTTCTCATAGTATCACAACATAAAGGTCTATTTTCCCTAGCTGAAAAACAG